ATGTTAGAGTTTTGAAACAAAAAACATATTCTGTTTTGGTTATCATTTTTAAAATAAGATTTTGAGTTTTTAATTCCTTTTTATTTTTATTGAGTTTGAAGTTTGTTTTAATATTTTGGTCATTTTTTTTAGATGCTTTAATTTAGATTTTACTTAAAAAGTAAAATATTTCGCGTAAAAGAATTTTTTGAAAAAATTAATAAAGAAACAAAATAATCACCAAAAATGTCAATGTATACTTTGAATTTTTGTGATTCACCCTTTGACCTTAATTTTAAAAGTTTATTCACCTTATTATTGTTTTTTGTTTATTAAAAAAATTAAAACTACATTAAAATCGAAGTTTGAAAAATCATATATGATTCTTTAAATAGTGTTGTGATGATTATTAATATGTAATTATTATTATTTTAAATCAGAATTGTGTTGACAAATTATTTGTCAAAGTGGAATTCTATGATTATTTATAATCCAATCTGATTTTATAAGTATACATAAATGGCTTTGGAACTTTAAAGAGAACTTTAGGCAGAGCTCTAATGGAGTGGGAATCTATGTATGAAGGTTGATATTTTGCCCTATTTATTTTAAAAAAAAAATATATCAAGTTACCACATTCTATAAGAGCTCCATTTAGAACTTTAATACTAGAGCTCCAAAATATCCTGTGCCCCTTATGCTATATTTATATGGATTGTTGAAGTGCGGACATGAAAACTCCCACTATTGTTTAATCCACCCAAGGTCCTTGTGGACGTCCAATGAGCCTCAGTTTACACTTTTGACAGAGTAATTTTGATTGGCGAGATCTGAAGCTTGGGGGAAGGACTTGCCAAGACCTCATCTCTACTGCAGGCGGTTAAGTTATGTTGGAAAAAAAATAGTTGAAAAGGAAATTTGCCCCTCATAAAATTTATATATTAACTCCACACATTTAAAGGACTTCATCAGTTTTACAAAAAATTGAAACATTGTCCTGGGGCATTTTGCTAGTATCATTGCCAGCCTTCTGGTATGCTAGACGGCTCCCTCCCCCTCTCCCCCCAATAGGTGATATAAAAGAGAGGCCCTATTCCTTGAAAAGAAGATATTATAGAATTTTTCCCTTGGACATCCATACACTATCAGCTCTACTTTCTCTATAATCTTTCTTCCTGAGATGAGAGTTGACTGTCGTTCGTCAGTTCGACTTAAAAGCCTAATCAGAAGTGGCTTCTGTTGTAGCCTGCGTAAAAATCCGTCACCTATTCCTGGAAGTAGACGCCGGCGTAACTCTCCAGCACCCCAACGGATTGTGAGGCGTCCGCGAATCTATTTTTTTTTAAGGAGCACTGTTGGTATCACCCCAGGCTCCAGGTTTCGGTTTGCTTCCTTTAACTATTTTATATTTTATCTGTATTTTATTCAGCATGTTATATTTTCTGGGATTGGAGGTTTGTTTTGTTCATCTCATAATTTTGTGATATGCAATGTGAAATTATGTAATGTGAATAGTTTTTCCCAGCAAGCTTAAAATAGATTCGACGTTTATCATAGAGTTAGATTAATAGATTCATAGGTGTGTGTAATAATTTTGCATGTAATTGGCCACTAGTAGTATTAGTGAGTTAATTGGTTTATTAGATGCATGTACACAGGGTTAAGCTTTTGATTTTGCCATTTTGTGTATGCTACTGTTTGGTCTTCCCATGGCATGGAATAGGCCATTGTTATCAATAGGGAAGAAGAGTTCCATTGGTGCAACGTTAATTCACTGTATTTTCTAATTAATTTATTAATTTATGGTGTACCGGTTCATGCCTTGTATTTCTAGATTTACATGCTTCTAGTTCACATGCTTCTAGTTTACAATATAAATTACATGTTCATTCGGGTTTAATTTTTAGTGTAGTTTACATTTCTAGCATGTTTATTAGGTAAATTTTCATGTAACTTGTATCTATTAATCTTTAATTTAGGTGTGGAGTTGTAAAGTTTATAACTTGCCTATATTTAAATTCATGTTAATTTCTCTAGAATTATTTGCATGTTAATCATGTCATTTGCAATTCTTGCCTAGTAATGTGATTTAAGTATTTAGGAGTTATAAAATGTTTGTAACTTGCCTCAATTAATTACATGTTTAGTGTACCATAAGTTCATATGTAACCTTTACTAATTTAAAATATGGTTTAATTATATTTAATTTAGGTCTGTAACTTATATAGTTAATTGCATGTTTATTATGTAATTAATTTTTTACAGTTTTTTTTAGTTTAAATTCTAGATGTGTAACTTAAGGGTTGGTTACTTACAGTTCAATCACTACTTTGCAAAAAGCAAAGAAGAGCTGAGGGAGGTTTTGTTGTATTTTGCTACTAATTCTTTATTGCAGGAATACTTATGGAAATGGGAAAAAGGATTAATTTGGACTAAATATTTGAAGCAATTGTTTGCTTGAGTGTTCATTTGTGGTTATTCAGCAATATGTAAAGCACGTTTTATTTGCTTGTAATTATTGTAGCAATTTTATTGTAATTGCTTGTACAGTTTAGAACTTGGTGTGTTTAACCTAGTTCATCCCTTGGAAAATTTAATTCTTAAAGTTGTTTCTCATGGACTAGGAGTCAACATGCTTTTGAAAGTTTTGTCTAAGGTTAACTGGGTTTTAAGTGGGACCGGTGTGACCCCTCCAGTCTTCTTGGAAACTTTCCTGACCATGTTCGATTCTAGGTTACGTGGTGAGACTAGTTTTGAATTAAATTTCCAATTGTGGGATTTTCTAGTGTTAAGTTTGATTTCTGGAAATACAAAATAGTGAAAATTCTGCTGTAATTTTTCAGAAATGGCAAATGTCTCTGATGCTGCTACTGCTGCTGCTAATGTTGGTGGGGATCCAAACCCCGGGGCCACTGGCTTGCCAACCCCTGTTGTGACCTCTGTGGTCAATCCTCCTGTTGTTACTCCGGCTGTTCCGGAAGGACCGCTCAATCATCACGAGCGCCCGGAGAAGTTCACGGGAGTAAATTTCAAGAGATAGCAGCAGAAGATGTTGTTTTATTTGACTACTCTAAGCCTTGCGAGGTTTCTGAGTGAAGATGTACCAGTCGTAGAGGAGATTGAGCAAGATAAACAAAAGCTCATGGCTCTGGACGCTTGGAAACAAGCAGACTTCTTATGCCGGAATTACATTCTGAACGGCTTGGCGGATCCGCTTTTCAACGTGTTCTATGCCAAGAAATCGGCTAAGGAGTTGTGGGATGCCTTGGACAAAAAGTACAAGACCGAGGATGCTGGGGTAAAGAAATTTATCGTCGGCCAGTTCCTGGACTTCAAGATGGTGGACTCTAAAACTGTCCTGAGTCAAGTCTAAGAGTTCCAAGTGATTCTATACGAGATACATGCAGAAGGGATGGTCCTAAGTGAGTCATTCCAGACAGTTGCTTTGATTGAGAAGCTGCCTAACAGCTGGAAAGACTTCAAGAACTACTTGAAGCACAAACGAAAGGAGATGACAGTCGAAGAGCTCGTTGTTAGGCTCCGGATTGAAGAGGACAACAGGAAGAAAGGAGGGAGTACCTCCACTGTCAAAGCCAACATGGTTGAGCATGGTGAGTCCTCAGGGGTGAGGAAAAAACCACCGACAGACAAAAGCTCAAAGTTAGGGGCTAGAGGAGGAATCTCCAAAAGGCCAGCCTACAAGCCAAAGGAGCCTACTTTTAGGTTCGATGGCAAATGCTTCAACTGTGGAAGTGACGGGCATCGAGCAGTTGATTGTCTGAAGAAGAAGCCCTACAGGAAAAACCCTCCCCAACACAAAAACCGGGCACATATGGCTGAAATGGAGGAATTGTCACACGATGTGGACGACATGCATCTGTCAGCCGTCGTGTCAGAAGTGAACATGGTGGGGTCAAACCCGAGGGAGTGGTGGGTGGACACTGGGGCCACTCGCCATATTTGTGCAGAGAAGAGAATGTTCACAACTTTCGAACCGGTTTCAAACGAGGAGAAGTTGTTTATGGGAAACTCTGCAACCTCAGCTGTTGATGGTAAAGTCAAGGTGATCCTGAAGATAATTTCAGGAAAAGAACTGACTTTGAACGATGTCCTTTTTGTGCCGGACATTCGTAAGAACCTTGTCTCGGAGTCTCTCCTAAGCAAGCATGGCTTCCGCATGGTATTTGAATCAGACAAGGTCGTGTTGACTAGGGGCGGGGTCTATGTGGGGAAGGCCCGAACAGGCCTTTAAAGTCTTGTATTTTACAATTTTCCTTCTAATTTTCTAACCGAAAATCCAATCGAGGTCCCGTTTGTTCCTACAAGTCTATTTAGGATTGAGTGTTGAACTAAGGCCAACTCTATGAGAATGAAGAGGCTAATTTCTCTAGAAGCACTCATGAACAACTAGGAGCGTTCAAGGCCAAAATGAACACAACCATGAGAACCACGATGTGTCAGAAGATATTTTGTGTGAAATCTACTGTCTTGGCTTACACAAACTGCTAACAATTCAAAACATCGCGTCTATTGGTTAGCTAGTAAGCCCGATAGGTTATCACTAGACAAGTCCCTCATTTGGATTTTCACTCATTTTTTGTCCTCAATTCTGCTATTGCTCTCTGCATCTTACTACATTATTTCTGTAAGAAAGAATGTAAACATAGAGTGCGTTCGTTGTGCGAATAGTTTGTAGTGCTGCTACTATTTGTTGTTGATAATTTTATCCTGAGAGATAAACGTTCATAATCTGAAAGCACCGAAGAGAGGACGAATATGTCTTGAGGACACAGTGTTAAACATTGGACTTGATCAAAATTTTGTTCAAGAAATTAATATGGTAAGTAATTAATTTACTTTTCTGTATTATTAATCTTTTCTTTTTCAAATTCTGATTTTGTTTTTGTAACAAAATAAGAATCTATTGCTTTATTTTATTTTATATAATTTTCTAATTTTTTGTAATCGAACAATCTCTCTCTTCTTTAATTTTTTCTTTGAATACTTTGAAGATTTCCAACACTTTCAACAATCATTGTGAAGCAAGGCAGCAAGCTGCAAGGTCAAATCCATGGAGAAGACTCAACACAAGCAACAGCAGCAACACCTGCAACTATCATCAGATTTTAATCTTGTATATATAATATTAATCATTTCTGGTTGTGTTTTTTGTCCTAGATTCTATTTCTTAGGTACAAAACAAAGCAGGTTAAATTGGCTGGATGCACTATTTAGACTACTGGGAACTTTTAGCTTATAGTATTGCACACAGCATGCTACATTTTTTATTATATGTCATATTACAACTTTGATTTTACTTTATACTATAGTTTAGGATGGTATGAGCTTTTTACATATGGGTCAAAACATATTTATGTATAAAGAATTTTGTTAAGTTGTTTCTAAATGAAAAGCTAACTCAGCCAACTTAGGAGCAATACAGAGCAAGCTATAGTGATTATCTGTTTTATATCTGAACAATGCTTTTTACCTAGTTTTCACCCATAAGACATTTAGATATTTTAATACAAGAAATCACAATGAGGGTGCACATCAGGATTAGCAAAGCTAGGTAGAATTGCATACTTTACGTTCAATTCATTGAAAACAAAGAATTAAAAGAATATTAAAGCTCCTGCAACTGGAGGCCCTTAAAGCACACAAAGAAAAAATATATATATCTATATTTTACATTCAGAACACTGAAAAAGATGAAGACACTAAAAAATTATACTCACCCCTCAATGTAATCCGACTGGAGAGGATCAAGATATGTATCCCATTTGTTTCCAATGACCTAAAAAAAAAAAACAAATTCAAAAAAAATTAGATTAGATCCACATACACAACATATTCGCCATATTTCAGATCTTCTACTCTGCCTTGCTTTAGGGCAGCCCATTTATTATTCTCCCTAAAACTTTTCTCTCTTTTCCTCTAAAAGCTGGAGTTCTATCTTTCCATCTTAACGCTTAGATGGAGTTCATTGTACTATTGTGCCAAATATAATTCAAGAGATGCTTGTCTTGAAAAGAGAACTATTAAATTTGCATAACTTTCAATCAGAAGTCATAAACACAACATCACATTTTCTTGTCAAGCAAGAGTTTGACAATTTCCATGGGAAAAAAACATGTAACAATCTTAATTTTGAGCCAAACCACCAATTCATTAAACCAATGAAAGAACCTGGAATTCATTAAAATCTAAACTCCATTACCTTCTTTTCAATTATCATATTATGTGAACCTTCTTTGGAAACTGGGTCTCAAGGCTAGAGATATCTTACTTGTCAAATTTCTCTCGTTATTTTAATTGGTAATATTCCAAGAAACCAAAATAAGTTATCCTTCAATTAAGCAGTATATGTGAAATGAATTTTCAATCTAAATTGATATTCATATGTTCAAGATGCTGCTTTATTTGTTTCTGCTCTGGAGATTTCAATTTTCATACTTTCCTTTCCTAATTAGTCTCTTATTGCCAGTTATGTACAGTTGATATTTATGTGTCCAGTTAACAAACATAATCACACCATAAATTTAGCTTCCACTAAATGAGGGCAAGATTTAGAAATTGTTCAAGTACTGGCTTCATCCCTTATTTGCAAAGTAGTAAAAAAAAAAAGTGTGCTCATGAAATTACTAGATCTGTCATTAAACCTATGTGCTAAAAAAAAAAAAAAAAAGGAAAGAAAGAAAGAAAGAAAGAAAGAAAGAAGAAGAAGAATAAAGAAAGAAAAAAAGAGTGGGATGTCTCAGTAAATCAATCAAAAGGTTCAATAATGTACAATACAAAATGGAAAATTGTACTAGTAAAAAGAAAAAGAAAACAAAAACTAGTACAAAAACCAAAATAAAGTGATTCATAAGATTAAGACTAAAAGTTAAACAAAACCCACACCATTCCAGATAAAAAATACCAAATCATTTAAACCCAAATAAATAAATAAGTAATTGAAAGCAAGGGTTAATTTCCCTTTTTATGGCCTAAAATATTGTCAATTATTTATATTTCATCATTAAATTATCAATTTCATCTATTTAGTCCATAGAGTTTCTGATTTCAGTTCATGATTCAAATGGAGACAACGCTTTCAACTCAGTAATTCTGAAAACCTAACCAAATCGGCAAAAAATGTATTACAATTTGAATGATCTGAATTATAAAACCAAACAACTATTTTCTTACTCAAACTATATTATTGGACAACTTATATCTTACAAGAGACACCCATGTTCTTTTCTATTCCTTATTTCAATTTAGTGAGTTTTAAGTTATTCAAATTTTGAAATGACCATTCTGCCCATCGAATCAGGCCTTGACAATTTGACAGTTTCAATTGGACCGCATTAACAGAAATTAAAAACTTTTAGGGATTAAATAGATGAAGTTGAAAATTAATGACAATTGTTTAGGTAATAAAAGTGAAATTAAGAAAGGGGAAAAAAAATGGCATCATTAGTTGTACCAGAGAATATCATCAAAGATTATATACCTGTTTTGGTAGTAGCTTTGAGTGACCACAACCATCTCATCAGTATAGAGACAACATTTGAGAGAAACCCACTAACAACCTCTGCAATACAGATCATACATATACATAGCCATAAATTAGGGACACATTGAAGCTCAAAAATTAGAACAGATCAAATTACATATACATGTGTGTGTGTGTGTGTGTGTGTGTACTCACTTGCAGGAGAGGTAGCTTGTATATAACAGTATATTGAACTATAATTAAAATAATAGCCACAACTCTGATTCACATGAACATAAATTTCATGATCAAGGTTGCTGATCTATAAACAAAAATCCAAAGACATAAACAGGGGCAATTGCATGCCAAAACAAAATTTGATTACCAACTCCAAATTCAAATCAGAATTATGCCCAAATCAAGATTTACAAGGGTGATCCATATTCAAAACACTAATTAAAAAACCCAAGTATATATCAAGATAAATTCCATCAACAAATATTCTCAAACATGCAAAACATCAAACATAAAGAATCCACACTATAAAAACACAACTAACAGTGCAAAAAATCCAAAACCCAAATCAATGAAATTAAGACATACAACTAATTACTCTCTCATTCCAATTTTCATATATGTCTCTCAAGAAATAGACATATATTTCATAAAATAGAGCACAAAATTGGGAATCTGCATTCGTCCATTGTGTAACTGACAAACCATAATACTGGCGAATACAAATCTATTTATTTCTACTCCAATAATCGATAGCATACAATATGAAAAACGATGAAGCATTAACTTTGAAAATCAGAACTGAACAAACAAGAACAAAAATTAAATTAAGAAAAGAAAATGAAATATACCTGATGTTGTCGATTCTTTTCATTCGCAGCTCCAGCGATGATTCGAAAATCAGGACTGAACAGAGAAGAACAACAAAATTGAACGATGTAAAAACTAAAATGGCTTCAAAGCATCGTCCGAAAACTATCAGAAAACACATACTTGTGTAGTCGGCGAGAGGGAAATAAGGAAGAGAGAGAGAGAGAAAGAGAGAGAGAGGAGAAGAGGAAGAAGAAAAGAAGACACACTCGTGCCGTTCGAGGTCGCGAGAGTGAGAGCATGAGAGGATCGAGCTTCAAGTGATGCGTGGGTTATTTCTGGGCAATAAAAAAACAACAATGATTTATCCCACTAAAAATATCACCACTAATAGCACTAATGCATTAAAAAAGTAAAAAAAAAAAAAAAAAACACAACTCCAAGACCAAAACATCACATCATTAATGACGGGACCCACTGCCACCTAATTAGTGGGAGCACTAATTAGTGCTCCCAAGCATTTTTCATAAAAAAATTAGGGATTCATTCAAAACGGTGTAGTATTGAAAAATAAATTATTAGCGACCAAAATCATTAGGTCGCCATAAATGTAGCCCACATTTTCTGCGACAGAATAGTTGTTGTCGCCAAAAAGTTACATTTGGTGACAAAAATTTTAGCTGCCATATATTAAATTTGTCGCCAAAATTTTTTCCTTGTTCCCACTCTGAAATTTAGTCTCGCGCCAAACCCATCCGTGACCAACCATGTTAACTCGTCGCCAATAGTTTAGTTTTTAGCGACCAACAAGCATATTGTCGCCAACTATGTACATTTGGCGACTAATTTCTATTTAGTTGCCAAAAAAGTCGCCAAAAATGATTTTTGTTGTAGTGTAATTTTTTTTTGTGGCTCCAAAATTTTGAGACTTTTGGTGAAAAAAAATTTGTCACCAATTATAAAATTATTAGTGAGGAATATATTTTCGTCACCAATAATTTTGTGTATACTTTTTTTGAAAAACTTGATTTTAAATATTTTAAGACCATTTGGTGAAAAATATATTTTCTCCGTAATAAATTTTAATATTTTGTGACTTTTTAGTGAGGAAATTGTTTTGTCACTAATTTTGGAAGAAAATTTTTGACATATTGGGCGGTAATGGAAAAAAGTAGACTACTAACTTTTTCCCCTTTTATTTTTGTTTATCAATTTTTCTCTCCCCTCTCTCTCTCTCTCTCAAAACAAAACAAAAGTTAATTAACCCTCTAAGTAACCTATGGTGACGAAAAGCAATGAAGAAAATCAATTTTGTCACTAAATAAGAATAATCCGTAACGAATTATAAAATTGTCACATATAATAAAAAAGCAAAAATAATAGATGACGAAATTTATTTTCGTCAATAAATATTTCTTTTTAGGTGAGAAAAAATTAAATTTCGTCGCCAAAAGGTTTTCTCTTTAATTTTTTTCGGTGGCACCAAAATTTTGAGACTTTTCGTGAGAAAAAAATCTGTCACTTATTATAAAATTATTAGTAAGGAATATATTTTCGTCACTAATAATTTTAAATATTTTTTTAAAAAAAATTAATTTTAAATATTTTGAAACTATTTGATGAGAAATATATTTTTATTGTCAATAATTTTAGTATTTTAAAATTTTCTGTGACAAAATTATTTTATCACCAATTTTGAAGGGAGAACTTAGAGATTTTGGCGATAATAAAAAAGGAACCCTACTAATTTCCCCCAAACCCTTTTTTTTTTGGTGTTTCAGTTTTTCTTTCATCCCTCTCTTGCAAAACAAACATTCTCTGCCTTCAACCCCCCTTCTCCTGCTTTAGCACCGCCATTGACGTCACCCATTCTCCTCCTTCAATACCGCCAAAGGTAGGATTGGACAGTGGATGTGCTGACCCGTCCGACCCAACCCAACGTCTTTTGAGTAGATGCATGACACATGACGGGCAGATATAAGTCCAAAATTTTTAATTTCATAGGTTCGGATCGGGTGGCGGTTTATCCGCCAATTTCAATCTCATACCCGACCCCCCCTTCTTTTTCCCTCCACCTATTTCCCCCATTTTCCCCTCTATCCCCTCCTCCATTTTTTCATTTCACGTTTTTCTTGCCCTAGGTTCTTCCTTCAACAACTCTCTCTCTCTCTCACACTTAAACGACGGCAAGCGATGATCGGAGATCGACGACAGTGGCGGTGAGCGACGATCGGCGACAATGGCGATTAGTAGCAATTGAGGCCTCGATTAGAAGGTATTCTTCACTTCTCTTCTCTACTCTTTGCTTCTGTTCTCTTCTTCTCTACTTCTCTTTTCCTCCCCTTCTTCTCTTCTGAACCTGTGTTCTGTGTTCTCAACCTTCTCTTTTTCTCTTTTCCTCGTATTCTTCTCTTCTGAACCTGTGTTCTGTGTTCTCGACCTTCTCTTCTTCTCTTTTCCTCCTATTCTTCTCTTCTGAACCTGTGTTATGGGTTCTCAACCTAATCACAAATTCCTTTTTGATGGAGTGGGTACGCGATTGATAAAACTATTTGTAAGCTAATTGATAAAACTAGCAATTAAAAGCAGTTGATAAATCTATTTTTAGAATCTGGTTTTGCAGATTTCAGTTCTAGTTCTTCTCTCATTGATTTGGGATTTTGCAAATTAAGCTAATCTTCTTTCTTCTATTTTATTGTTTGATGATGATGGTGATGATTTCTGGGTTTTTCATTTGTTAATTTGTTGGTATAAGAATTGTGATCTTGAATTTTCTGGGTTATTTGTGTGAATTGCTGGTTGTTCAAGTAAAGTTTTTTGTCAAATGCAATATACTTGTTTTTTTGAGATTAATAGGAGTTGACACTCTGTTCTTTTGTGTGTGTGTTGTTTCCGACCTGATAATTAAAAAGTTAATGACTTGTCAATGAGAATATAGAAATTTGTTACTAAGAAACTGTGAACATATCATTGTCAACAACTTGTAATTTAACTTCAAATTTTTAACTTCAGATTTGTTGTCAACGTATGATTTAACTTCAGATTACAATGTGAAAGTTAGAAACACAAAACTCAAAATAATTTCAGATATAAATAATTTCATAAATTTTGGGCCTAAATTAAAACAGTGAAAAACTACTTGAAAATTAAGTCAGAAAATGGCCCAAAATAGTTTAAATTAGAAAAGATTAACTAGCTCCTCAAATCCTAGAATTAGAATCTTTTAAGTGATTATACAATAGGATTTCGCATACCCACTGGTTGTTTGAAGAACAGAATTAGAATCTAATAATAATGAACAGAATACATAATGTAGGAACAATTGTTTAATGAAATCTATTAGATGAATATAATACATATGTAAGTGTTTTTAGTTTGGTTAGAACTTATGTGTGAGATGGGAATAATAATTATCTATGCAAGTGAAGAATTATTTTGACTGGGAATAAGAATTATTTATTTTACGTATTTATGTGTGAGTTTTTGATTAGAACTTTTCTGCTTTTGTAATGGAGTTGAAAACAGGAGACTAAACTTCCTAATGCCTCGTAACTCGTAATGCCTCATCAACTCGTAATGCCTTGATATTTTTATTCTTCTGCATTTTTGTTGCTAGGATATTTGATCATGCACTGGAAGACCAAATTCAAAATCGGGTCTTGTCCACTCTTTATCTATATGTATATCTTTGTTGGATCCAAAAAGATCAACTCCTTCTCCCATGTTTCATTTCTTCCGAAGTCAACACATCTACGAGTCACCTATACCTGTTAATCCTGAGACCGTTGGTGCAATGCTGCCCAAGCTTGGTAAGCGTGTCATAAAATTTGTGTATGTTTGCTTGTGATGTCAAGGTTTCTTTCTACCTTATGTTAAATTTGTTTCTCTACCCACTTCAGTAACTTAGAATATGAATTTATGGCTATAGCTTGTGCACAAATTGGATGTTTATGTACTTGTCTTAAATGGGAAACTTTTTTCCCTTTCTTTGTTTTGAAACTGATATTTCTGAGTTTCTTTTCTTTGGATTGAGGTTACTTTGCTTTGTTCAATGTAATATCATGAGCTCATATGTTATGATAGACCATCTGCATTCTATTGATGTGAATTGGTGGTGGAAACTGTTGAACATTGTTTTAAATTTTGTTTTTATTAACTTTGAAGTTAATTCATGAATTGAAACACATGATATCTACATTGGTTACCGACATTGGTGGCAAGTTCCCTGTACATTGATGGTTTTTGGGTACTGGCCTCCCACTTTTTTTATGATGAGGAAGAGATTATTACATAGTACGAAACGGAAAGATATAAGACAATCAAGAAGAATAATAAGAAAATCGATGCTCTACCATGTCCCTTCTCATTTGTTGAGTTTATACATATTTATATATGTACTTAAACATGTAAAGGTATATATTGAAACACCTCAACTTAGAAACTTGATTAGTTGAGCTAAGGTATTGGGATAGTGCCTTTGGATGACAACTTAATGCTGTGACTTTTGGCCAAGAAAATAGTGGTGTATTGAACATTGAAAGGGGGGTGCACGTGCCCCCTGGTCCTCATGTGGCTCCCCTTTGTTGATGATTGTTAACCAAGTTGTCAAAGGCCAGGAGTTGTGCAACAAACCTGAAAGAAAAACTAAATCAAGATAAGTTTTACTTAAGATCCTTTATTCAATTTAAGTTCTTCGAAAAGACAAAATGAACAAATTTTCTGAAGAACAAGTTGACCAAAAACCAGCAAGGTTGCAATTCCTTGTTTCACATTCATTCTAGCTCCATTGAGAATTAGAATAGGAGCAAGCTAAATGTTCTCACATATTTTATAAGCTATTGTAGGCTAAGATTGATTGATAGCTGGAAAGTTTAATAAGTGTTACGAACTCTCTTAAATAGGAAGTTAATGAAAGAAATCTACCTTATCAGAAATTAAAGTAAGATAAGATAGGGAAGTAAAGAATTGTCGTAAAATTAATTTTCTTAATTATGATAAACTAGTAACATAGCCTTAAGACCTATTGCGACTCTGGGTAAACACAAACACACACACACACACAAACATCACATTTAGGACATGCTATTGGCATTTATCTTAGCTTCTTGTACTCCACATATTTGAGTTCCAGAGAAGCCAAAAAGCACATGAAAAGTGGATCACAAGATGCTAAAGTGGAGTGCCAATGGGGCAATCACATGCACACGGACACTTGCAAATTAGTCTTAAACTTATTAGTTATGATATGAATTAAACTCAACATTCAACTTAAGTAAAATGGTGCTCCATTCTGTTTTACAGAAGATTGCAATTGGATTTTTCTCACATTTGCATCTTGAGAGACAACTGCCATCACAACTTCATCAAAAAGTCCATCTTTTTTCACTTGTTTTCCAACCTCTTCAACCATTTTCGTCTTACCTACCCCTCCTAGTCCATGTACCCCAATCTTGTAAACCTTGGAATCTTTTAATGCATCCATGATCCTCTCGAAAATCGATTCTCTTGAATCGAAAATCATATAATCCAAACTTACAAAATCAGCACTGGATGGGAATAAAAGTTTCTGAGGAGCTGGTTTAGGATGTGCAACTTTGTCAAATTTTCCTTTTTGAGTGAGATTTTTGATATCACCAATCTTCCTTTCTGCTTGCTTGCTCAATTTGTAGCGTGAGATGTAGTCGGGACATGAAAATTTAAAGCATTGCATGCTTTCCTTATTGGTTTTGTGGTTTACAAATTCTTCAACTTCTCTTATCATCTTGTCCGCCTCTGTTTGCCAGTTTGAAACATTAGCCTCAATGTCTTCACCAAGGGTCTTGTATTTATCAACTTCGTCATTGACTTTTTGCCACTGATCTTCCAGGTCCTTTTTAGCATCCAATTTCTCCAAGTTTCCTTTGTAGCAAGTAACAAAACGGATATGACACACCACCGATTGGATCACTTTATCAACAATTTTGTCTACAATCTTGTCCAGAATGGTTTGGGGACTACACATTTTCAATTCACTCTTTTTCTTATCTCCTCGTGAGTTTTTTTTTTTTTTTTTTTGTTTTAGTGTCTATAAAAGAGAAGAGACTATTTTCTTTGTGCCTCATGTTAAAAATAACCTTTCAAGTCAATTTAATATGTTTTTATTATACATATTTTTAAATATTCTTTGTACATTTATACTAAAAATCATGTGACACATAAAAAAAAAAAAAAGAAGAAGAAGAAGAAGAAGAAGAAATATGGCATAAACACCAACAACAGTGATGGCTTTATAATAGTACTAGAGGTTGTGCACACCTACATGGGTGTGCTTAAAATTTCCTTGTGGGTTGAAATTGGCCATTATAGATTGAATAGGTAGTTATCGAAAAACTTGTGATTCAATTCTTAGTCAGAGAAGGGTAATTTGGGAATAAAAATCATGTGACACAAAAGTGTCAACACGAACTTAGCCATTTACGTATATAATAGAAAGAACAGGTAGATAGATAAATTGTAAAGATATATACTAGTTGTGGTTGTAAAACATGATACTTGGCAGTTTTACATCTAAACTTTTGGGTGGTTTGACAATCAGGAAGATGGGTTAAATTTAAAAAATGTTGAGCAGTTATTTATTGGATGTATAGTTCTAAATTAACAATTATATTCTTGAAAAACAAAAATAAGAAGCACGACGAAATTTCAGAAAACGTTCGCACCAAATGATCTGTATGTATGCTTTATGTAATAGAATAGGTATAGATGTATGTGGGTTCTGATAAGAGTTGATGGGTGGAGTTGTAGGAGAGTGATTTGGTTGAATTGGAGACTACAGTGGAACCCGCATGGCCAAAGTTGGTTGAGCCGTTGGAGAAGATCCTAGACCGACTATGGATCGTTTGGGGGATTGTGAATCATCTGAATGCTATCAAGGATTCTCCTGAACTCCGTTCTGCCATCACAGAAGTTCAGGTGCCTTTTCTTTACTCTTTAGATGACTTGAAGATGGTGCTGTTGAGTTAGTGCTGACAATGTTACTGTAATGCTCTTTGCTTGTTTTGCAGCCAAAGAAGGTTGAGTTTCAGTTAAGGGTGGGCCAGAGCAAACCCATTTATAATGCATTTAAAACAATCCGAGAATCTTCAGATTGGGAAACATTGAGTGATGCCCGTAAACAAGTAGTGGAAGGTTAGTGTTTTTTTTTTGCAATACATAGAACTCATGCTTGACTATATGTGGTTACTGGACAATGTTGTGAATTTGATGTTTGAATAATTAGTGATCCAAGATATGGGTAGCAAGAGATGTTTTCTCTTTGATTGCATTTTGGTTGCGCAGAGTTGAATTCAAACATCAACTAATCCATGCAAGTAAATGAATGAGTCGATATATGACGCTTACAGTTATACCACTTAGGATCTAACTAGAACCTAACATATCAAACTTCAAGATTTTTAAACAAGTTGAAGAATGCAATCTCAGTCTTTTTTTTTTCTTCTGAGACTAACAAAAGACCGAATTCCAATAATTATTTCGGTATATACTATATATACTATGCTACAAGCACCACTGATACCTCACCATTGTCTACTACTCTTAAATGCCACCAACTTTACCCACCAATTTTTACTTAAAGGTCACACGTATTAATGGCACTTGACTTCTCTGCAACTCGGATCCTTTAACCACCTCTTTATCAAGAAATCTAGCAACTTGCTAACAAATTATTTATTCTGCTTTTGGTCTGCGCACTAGCAATTGATTAAAAGATAAAAAATAAAAAAAGGCACAAAAAGAAAAGGAAATCATCAATTTTAATTAAGGATTAAACTAAAATCTAATTGATGAAGTTGTTTGTTTTTTGCATGAGTTTAAGATGCTCCTACATTAGCCAGATATTGCTATATCTATTATAAATAACATGTTTCATTGATTAACAAAATATGGGCATTATAACGTCAATTACGTTTCAATTAGTTTTCCTCACTGAGAGATGAATGGTTCATATGTGTTGATATGCATCTCTAATTCTTTTATGTTAATGATTTAGTGTATCTCAGTAGGCTTGATTGGATTGTTTTAGAAACTAAAATATGTATGGTTCAAAATATATTTTTGTAAAACAGAGTGGGATATTTTTGTAGAGTTGTTTCATTCAAGTGTCAAGTGAATGATTACAAGTATACATTTAAAATAGATGGTCATCTGGGGTTGTCTCCCTTCACCATTCACCATTCACCATTTTTGTTTAATTGTTCATACTTTGCCTTGTAAATCCAGCAAACATATTTAGTCAAAGCCTGACCCGAATCAACAAAGAACCACAATTCTTCCTATCAATCACTTAAAAGAACAGTACTGAAGACTGAACGAGCTATGCATATAAATATATATATTCCATTAAAAGTGTCTTTGCATTCTTCGAGAATAAGTAAAGAAATTTATGTTTTAAAAAAACTACAATCTAGGTCTCTAGATTGGATAACTGGATCCATGCAAATTTACCCATCATTAATTCATTCAATGTCCTTTACATTTCCATCATCTATCAATTTTCGGAATGGAAAAAAGAAGACCATCTATATCTATATCTATATCTATAAAGTGTACACACGAAACTTGGCACACACGACCGCCTAGGCACGAAACTTGGCACACAGAAGTATTGCTTGTCCCTTTAACGACTCCTAATATCTAATTATTAACACCCTCGCTGTCATCTTTTGAATACTTGAGAAAAACATGCATACTAGAATTTTATCTTTATTGTTTCTACCCTTGACGACAATAAGGAAATTTGCTCTGAGACTAACAAAAAAAATGTTGTATTTGATGTTGTTGGGAGTTAGAGCCAGATTTCAGATATAATTTTTATGTTTTTTTGTATTTGATGCTAGTAGTTAAATTTTTATTTTTGTATTTGATTGAGATGTTTAATTATCCACGTGGGATTTGATGACTAACAAAAAAAATGTTGTATTTGATGCTATAGTAGTTAAATTTTTATGTTTTTTTGTAATTAACATTAACACATAATTGTATTGTCATTAATTATTTTTATTTTTATTTTTCAGATATTTCCCATGTAGGAGTGTGCTTCTTGTGGAATGCATGCCTGTGGAGAATGTGGCTAACTTTTGTTTTTGTTATCTACGAAGAATGATGAGAAAAATAATTAATTTTGGTTTATGTTATTTTGAATTATGAACAAAATCATGTATTTAAACATCATATATGTATTATGGAACATTATGTAGTGAGATAATTTTGTTGATGTGTAATTATGAATGGAAGAATATTTTATTATGGAGAAATTGTTGTTTTTATACAAGAATTTTTATATTATTATGCAATTATTATGGAGAAATTTTAATATTTTTAATAATTTTATCGCAGGATGTTTTTTTATTTTTTGTGACAGCATTACACCGTCGCAAAAAACGGAAAATTTTAATATTTTTATTGATTTTCTTATAGGTTTTACTTTTTGTGACGACACTAAATTGTCGCAAAAAATAGAAATTTTATTATTTAAAATAGAAATTTTATTATTTTTTTAATACTTTTTGCGACGGCAGTACACTGTCGCAAAAAATAGAAATTTTCATATTTTTAATACTTTTTGCGACGGCACCACACCGTCGTAAAAACAATGTTCATGCCGTTGCAAAAGAAAAAGACTATTAGCGACGGTATTTTTTGCCGTCTCAAATAATATTTTTAGTGACGGTAAAATAGTGCCGTCGCAAAAAGTCAAGAAATTTTAGACATTATTAGCGACTGCAAAGTGCCGTCACAAAAGGCAAAAATGCTATCGCAAAACATTAGCGACGGCACTCTGCCATCCCAAAACTCTTTCGCAACGCCCCAGTTGCAACCCCCCTCTTGCTGTCGCAAAAAGTCATTTGCCGTCGCAAAAAGTTTTTTGCAACGGCATTAGGAGTATTAGCGACGGCATTTTACTGTCGCAAAAAGCTGAAATTTTAGTAGTGAATTGATATAGCTAGCAATTGAAAGCAATTGATAAACCTATTTTTAGAATCTGATTTTGCAGATTTCAGTTCTAATTCTTCTCTCATTGATTTGGAGTTTCTACAAATTAAGCTAATCTTCTTTCTTCTATTTTTGTTTGATGATGATGGTGATGGTTTATGAGTTTTTCATTTGTTAATTTGTTGGTATAAGAACTGTGATTTTGAATTTTCTGGGTTATTTGTATGAATTGCCGGTTGTTCAAGTAAAGTTTTTTTGTCAAATGCAATATAATTGTTT